TAATTATCATGTTCTAGTTGAAGAGTTGGTTTGACTTTTACTAAAGTAGTATCTTCTTCAATTAATGATTCGTCCAAGGTTTCTACAACTTGAGTGTTAGGCTTTGTACCAAAAGCTACGAATTGGACATCAGAATCAATTCGATTACCCTATAAAAAAAAAAAAAAAAAATTTAGTTTCACGGATAATATTATAAAAGTGAATGAAAATATTTGTTAAAAATTTACCTTGCTAGTTTCTAGTGTTAAGGGAGACAAACCGTCACCAATACCAGAAGAGGGAAGAATAACTTTTTCACCAAAAATAAGGTTTACATTTAATTCCCTCAATTGTTTCGCAAGAAGATCTGTCATTTTCTTTGGGAATTGTTCCGAAAGCAAACGATCTTCCGAATGAACAAGTGTAATTTCTTTGTCACTGTAAACTGATGCAATTTCTCCAGCAAGTTCTATTAAAGATAATACGAATGAAGATAAATTAATAACGATAATAGTAATATATTATGCTGAAAATTTTGAAATTATTAATAACAGTATGTTATAAACTTACCTATGCCCACTGGACCTCCACCAATAATCAAAATCTTGTTCGCGTTTTTTACAGCTTCTCTTTGTGCGACTATTTCAGAAACACCCTCCTCTTTATTATTTGCTACCATCTTTGCAGGTTTAGAGTGATTAGAACCGGTAGCAATTACCAAGTATTCAAATGGTATGCGAGTTCCCCATTCAGTATTGTTATTAATAATAACTTCTTTTTCATGAATTGCAGTAACTGTAGCATGTACAACTTTTCCTCCATGCTTAAATAGATTTTTATAAGTAACCATAATTTTATGTTCGAATCCATCTTCAACAGCCACACGAAGACCACCAATTGAATGGTAAGTGTAGGTTTTACGTTCGATAAGAATGATTTGATGTGTTTTATGAAGAGCCAATTCGAGTTTTGTGGCTACGTTTATTCCGCCATATCCTCCACCAATGATTACGATATTTGGTTTTGTTGACATTTTTAATATTAAAATTTATATAAAAATTTTAATAAAAGAAAATTTTTATAAAGGAGATTTTTTATAATAGATTGTTAAAAAGAAATTTATATATAATACTTAATAATTTTTTCGAGAGAAGCAAAAAGACTCTCACGGCTCGCTTATATATATGACGGCGTGCTTATCGGCCATCAAAACTGTTGCTTATGTATACAATCTATGACAAATGGCATTATGCTTATCAATTTGTCAGCTGGAAAAATTCCATCCAAACTGGTATTTGACATTATTATCGATTTGTCAGCATCAAATTTTAGTTCGGAAAGTCCTAAGTTTTAGTTCGAAAGTAATATTCTAGATGCATTATTACGTATCTGTAACGATAAATAAATTGTTACATATATGATTGTTTTGCGTGCGAAGATCCCTGGTAAAAAGTTTGGCCGGAAGATCTTTGCATATTGCAATGTAGAAATATAGATCACAACATTG